GCGATGAAGCTAAGGATGTAGGCTGGGGCAAGACGGTGAAAGGTCCTGATCCTTCCTGCAAGTGAGGCACCAGGAAGGTCTTTAAGGAGTAACCTCAGCAAGTATGTGTGTTACAAAGAAAATGCTGGTAGAAATGGAGAATTTTCAGCAAGAGACCAAAAGTTTAGGCAAGAGAGGATGAAGAGAACCTAAAGCAGCAAAGTGAGACAGACAACAGAGGATGGATTCCAGAGGCAGAAGTGGGTCACCACAGGTTAGTGACAGAATCCATAGCAGGGGTGTGATTTGAGGGGGAAGAGTCAAAAATGACTTGAGCAATGGGATGGAGGAAATGGACTCTACACCAGACAACGTACTGGGTGTTTTAAAAATACTATCTCAACCTTTACAACTCTATAAGGGAGGCAGAATAGCCCCATTTTACAAATGATGCTTAGAAAAGTAACTTCTCTAATCACACAACTAGATTACAGAGCTAGGCTTCAAATGCGGGTCAACACGTCAGCCGTCACTCTATGAGGAATGTACACAGAGAGGGCTAGCATGCTGCTTTGGTTGATCATATGGAGTAGAAGGGGACATTCAGACTAGAGATATACATTGGGGAGTTATCAAGGTAGACAATGGTGGTGGCTGAAGCCACAAATGAGGCTAAGACTGCCCAGCAAGAAAACAGAGGCAAGAATGAAGCTGGAAGAACACTCACATTTAGAACAGGAGGGAGCAGTGGAGGTGCATAGGAAACTGATGGTGACGTCAAGCGAGAATTTTGTGAAGAGAGTGTCAAACACTGCAGAGCTAGAGTCTGACTAGGACCAAGATGAGGAAACAAGATTTTCCATCGCAAAGGTGTGCCAACATGGCTTTACCATTGCAGTGGTGGAGGCAAAGGGAAAGCAGCAAAGGGCTATGAAGAGTGCAGGGATGGGGCTGGGGGGTTTGAGGAGCTTGGTTTAAAAAGAGATCACCTTGAAATGTTGCAGACTATGCTGTATCCAGAACTCATAGAGGGCCGGCAGTGTGGTTGTGCCAATTGCTCCAGCTGCACTTGGCAGCTCAGGCTCAGAAGCGAGTAGAAATGGACAATGGAGCCAGCATTTGGCAGTGGGAGAACAGGAATGGTGACAGAGGGCACAAGGGCACAAAGGACTTTGGACCCTTCTAGACAGAAAAGTTGCCCTTGCTGGGACACCAGTAAAAATTTTTTAAAGTCTTAATCATGATCATGGATTAAGGAGGGTCCATTTGGCATTTTTTAACAAAAAAAAAAAAGCCAGGGTTTACCTTTGTATTATGTAAAAGGGATGTGTAAACCAATAATTAATGTTAACAAATTTAATTCAAAAAGATTAAACTGCTTTTAAACACATCAGAGGCACCACTGGAACAGGATGAAAACTGATATACCAATTACTAATTACTCTTTACTCTTCAAACTGATTCCCCAAAGGCTTCTATTTAGCAAATACTTTAAAAGAGACTGTGTACAGAAAAGGAATAAAAGCCTATTCATTTATATTTCTTTATTTAGTCTGGCTGCCATCCCAATTAGATAAAAGGGAGGTTTTACTGGCCATAACATCTAGCACTTGTTTTTCAAAGCACTCTAAACTGGTGTCTCACTCTTCACACTTTCAGCAAGGAACACACCAGCATCCCCATGCAGTGGGGAAACCAAGGCCAAGGGAGCTGATGCAGCATACGCCAGCTTACCCGTGTTCTTGCCTCCCAAGTCCAAGGTTGTTTCCTCTACCTGTTCTTCTCTGATACATAGCCTCCTGGGCATTCTGGAGCACCTTGCTCCCCACTTCTCATCTCTGACTTTGCAGACTGCACTGATGGAACTACTACTTAGTAAGTAACACAGGTCTGAATCCCCTGCCCACCCTGGTTCTTATGCAAGGCAGTCCTTTGTGTAAAATCTTCTGATGAGGCCCTCAACCACCAGGCCTGTGAGGGTCCCTGTTGTCCCTCAGCCAAGGTTCCTCTCTCCTCCAGATCCCCATTTCACCAGGATCACAAGGACACATGCAACTACTGCAGGAAACACAGGCTCTTCCTGCAATAAAATGAAAGCAGCTAACATTTATTGAGCACCTACTGGTTGCCATGAACTATGGTAAGAACTGTATATACATTACCTTATCCTCACAACTCAGCAAAAAATTGAATCATTTTACAGATGAGGATATTGAGGTTGAGAAAGGCTAAGTTCTTGCACAAGACCATCCAAGTTACCTGCTGAGGCAGCACTCATAACTCATGTCTGTCAGACTCTAGAACCCATTTTATTTTCACTCTGCTACACTGCCCCGGCTCACCACTCTGAAAATACTTAGACCCACACCAAAGTGGAAAAGGAAAACCGAACTAGGGGCCTTTTCATTTTCACTGCCTGACTCTTAACCCAGACTCCATGAGGCTAATTCCACAGTGTTTCTCTAGGCTGACAGTCCCACCAGCCCAGGGCCCTGGGAAGCTGACAAGAGTCAAAGGGCTCCCTGGCAGGCTTGTCCTGGCAGCTGCCCAGCTGACTTGTGCTAACACAGCAACAGGCACAGGAAAGGGTCTAGAGAGAATGGAAAAGCACCAGACACTGAGCCGCTGCAGGGAGAGAAGCAATTCCTGCCGTGCTCCGACAGGATAACCCTGCTCTAAAGCTAGCACCATCACAGGGCAGGGAAGAGATGGGGGAAAGGTGTAGGGGGGCCAAACAAAAAGCCCCCGCATAACCACTTACAATGTGTTTTAGTGAACTGTGACTGTTCGGGCAATCAAAAAGAGAGTCATATGCCTCCAAGGTGAATCAGCAAGCACGGAAGAAAACCAATTTATGCTCTGGTTCATCCCAGCACCCCAACCTGTCTTTGCCCACATCCACATAAACCCTGCCACCTGACATCACCCGAGCAGAGGCAAGACAATATGCACTATCTTACAGCTACCGCAGCAGCAGATCTCAGCCAGCCCGTGGGAAAGCAAGATCTCGCTGAGAATATTAATAGACCTGCTAGAGGCAGACATTCAGAGAGGACATGCCCTAAGAAATGAAACTATTTAAAAGGGGCATAATCAAAGTGAGACTAGAGGAAGGGAGCAACTTGGATTTCCAAAAATAAAGCTTCCTCTACCAGGCGCAGACAGGAGGCATGCCAGTGGATACAGGGTTATTCTAAAACATCTGAGAATCCAAAACTGACTGTGGGAAAAGTTGTTTGGTATTGTTTCTGTAGGCTTTCCATCCTCAAGTGTTTTTCTTATATATGTAGGAAGCCTAAAAGTGTTTTGAGGGAAACCAATTCTGAGATCTAATGTTTGCCACAAGTTTTAGATCGCTAAAAGACGCACACTTCTCAGATGTCATTAGGAGAAGGGCAGTTTGAGAGGTTGCAAATTGGCAGCCGCTGGGTCAAATTAACCCCACAGGTAGGTTAGCATTTCTAACATATGCTTAGGATTTTTCTTTAATTATCAACATTTAAAAATCAGGATTTTACACACACACACCTGTAATTTCTAGCATCTTTTAGAAAAATTGGGAAATCTGGTACCACTGGGTGAGCAGCACAAATTGGAAGATGCTGAATCACCACTGCCCCCTTTCGGCAGGCCTGTGCTTTCTAGTTTCCAACTCGGCCAGCCTGGGAACTCATTTAAGTCACCAGACTGACCCCTGCAGGCATCAGGGTTTGCTACTCCAGCAAAGTAGCCCAGGGAAGAGCCCAGGCTTGGTAATGCCCAGGACTGCCACTGGGAGGCGGCAATGGCCTGTCAATGAGACATGCCAACCAGCCAGAGCCTGTAACCAGAAGCTGAGCTTAGTAGATCCTTCAGAACCAGAAATCTCATCCTTACTAGGGTAGCCAACAATCTTTCCCCACACTCCCCATCAGATTCATTCCCTGGGAAGCAACAGCAGCTCATTTCAGCATTCCCACTGGGCCTGGACACCGAGGACAAGCCACTGACTTGACCTGCTCTCTGCTCTCTAGCCATCACCTTCCAGGTCCTCCCAACACCTCCCACTCCACAGCTGGCAGCTCTACCTGTTCAGGAATTCTGCCCTTGCCCACCAGTTTACACCATTAGGCCTCAGGGGAGGGAGATCCTGATAAGCAGGGCCAATGCCCTCCCCTTTTTAAAGGCAAATTTATTCATCAAATGCTCATGACTTCCCTTTGCTCTCCTAGGCTAAACATCAGTCAGCCTCACCAGGCAGCAGGTTCTTAGGCCTCTTCCTGCCCTCTGCTCTCACTTCCCTTACAACCTCACCAGCAACATGTGCAGTGGTAACACTCAATACAAACTAGAGCCCTTTAGGAAAGACACTTGGCATTATGCATGGAGACCCTCAAAACCCATCATCCCATTTCAGCCAAAATTCAGAAAAAGCTTTATATAACATCCATTGCAGTATTTAAACTAGTGAACAACCAAAAACAATTCAAAGGTCCAAAAATAGAGAAATTGTTAAAAAATAAACATATGCTATATTCCCACTTGATGGGCAATTATGTAGCTACTAGTAACAATTATGATGAGCATGTGATAAAGTAGAAAATGATTATATGTAAAAATATAATTAAATGTAATGATAACCATCTTTAAAACCTATGTGGAGAATTAGTGAAAGACAACAAAATGTTAACGGTTGTATTAAAGAGCTGAAAGCATATGTGACCTTTTCTTAATCCCTACCAAATTTTCTTTAATGTGCATATATTACTTTTATAGGGAAAAGCATATGCTTATGTGCCGTCTATTCCAATTTATTAATAGACCTGAAGGTGCTACAGCCTCTTGTTATCATACTCTTAGGAAACTGTGCCTCCTGTGTCTCCAAGATTCAGTACAACCAAGTTAGTAAAACAAAGTTTCCAGCCCATCCCCTGCCCCTGGAGTCCTTAAACACCAATGTTATGCTGCCTTGAAATGCCTGCCCTTGCTTAAGTCCTAAGGAGACCCCAAATACCATCTGGAAAATAGGATTCAATCAATACGGTTCTTAGACGCAACTTTAATCAAGTTCTGCATTATACAGTGATGGGAGGTGGAAGATGATGATTGTTTTCAAGCAAATTCACCAGGCACATGTTTCTCCCTGCCCCAAAATAAGCAGCCTGGGCTTCCCAGAACAGAGAAATGCTTTCCTTCCCCAGGGAATCCCATTCCTGAGCTGACAAGACAATTTCAGGACCAAAGAGCACAAAGGATAGGGCAAACTCGTGAAGGAAGCCCTGTAGATTTCTGAATTCTTCCCAGTGCAAAATTAAACTGGACATGTATATATCCCTCTAAAAAGCAACACCCAATCCCAGCCATTCCCACTTGAGGCCAAAACACCTCTCCGTGGAGACTGGCAGCCAATGTTCATTTCATAACACTCCTCCTGGAAGTACACCCATAAGCTGGGATGCCGGAGCAGTTGTGGCCACCATGCAACAGATGCAGCCTTCTGGCCAGAACCCTCAAGAGCCTTCCTCTTCATTGGCCCCTCAGCTGCGGCTGTGTCTGCCTGGCCATCAAGGAGTAGCCAGTATGTGTGTGGCTGTGTGGTGGGGGATGGACCAGAATAAGCGACAAAGCAAATCAGATGTGGGTTCTGCAGCTGAGTGGACATGGGGCCAGGACCAGTCATGGCCCACAGTAGGACCAGAGGGCTCTGTGTCCTCCATTAATTCTTCTCCGGTCGGTTTCTGTTCAGGACAGCTTTAGGGGCAAATTCCAGCTTGTCCTTAAGGCTCACCACCTGGGTGTGGTCCTTGCCTAGCAGCTCATCCAGCTTCCGATCCTCCCGGCGTTCTGAGATGCTCTTTTCCTCCTCCACAGGCTGGGGATCCTTTCCCCTGATGAACCATTCCAGGTGGTAGCCCACAGCCCCAACCACAAAGGCCACAGGGAATGTGACATAGGGAGCATAGGTACGCACCACGGTCCAAAACACTGGCCACATGACATCTGCAGAAGAGCACAAGGCAGCATTAGGGAGAACCCGGCATCTCCTCTCCCAGCAAATATGGACAACCCACCAGGGCTCTCCACTTACCAGGCAGCGTGGCACAACTTACTAGACATCACCCTATGCAGAGCAATGCAAGAGCATACCTTGATTTATGCAAGAGGTGGGTCCCTGAAATCATCTGGGAAATTTCAAAAGATTCAATTGTTAAACAAGGGGGAAAGGGTCTCTATTTTATGTACTATACTCTTTGACAATTATGCACCTATATATAGCAGTATTCCCCACAAGGGCACTTCTGAGCCTTACCTGATAGATAGACTGCTATGAAATTTCTCCATGAGCCCAGCCAACCACCCTTTCCCCAACACATACAACCCCACTGTAAATCTCTTGGCTCCACATTAATCTCCTTCTCCTCTTATAAAGTATAAGAAGCATATTTAGGCTGGGCGCAGTGGCTCAGGCCTGTAATCCTAGCACTCTGGGAGGCTAAGGCAGGAGGATTGCTTGAGGTCAGGAGTTTGAGACCAGCCTGAGCAAGAGCAAGATCCCATTTCTACTAAAAATAGAAAGAAATTAGTCGGACAACTAAAAATATATATAGAAAAATTAACCGGGTATGGTGGCACATAACTGTAGTCCCAGCTACTCAGGAGGCTGAGGGAGAAGGATCGTTTGAGCCCAGGAGTTTGAGGTTGCTGTGACCTAGGCTGACACCACAGCACTGTAGCCCAGGCAACAGAGTGAGACTCTGTCTCCAAAAAAAAGAAGCATATTTAAATAGCCAAATCCATAATCAATTACCTAGCTATTCTGGTTTCTAACTATTCTTATCTCTAACAATGACACAAACCTATACTTGACAAATCTGCTGACCAAACCACTTCCGAAATATACTATCTTCAACCGAACCAATATCCCCACAGTTGCATAATAAGCTCCTGAAAATATCACAAACCATTATACATACTCTAGATACCCTAGAACTTGAAAATTCTCTGTAAAAACCACTATACAAGCCATGGCAGGAAAAACAAGAACTGCTCCTGGGCCTCCTGAAATGAAGTAGGACAATACCAAAACAATGTAAAAACACACAAATTGGGTTACTGTAATGGTCATTTAGTCCCAAATGATTACTACCATTAACAATTATAAAAGATCATTCACAATTATCATAATAATGATAGCTACCATTTATTGAGCACTTATTACGTGCTAGGCCTTGGGCTAAGCATTTTATATACGCCATCTCCTCTAATCTTCATAAGACTCCTGGCATTATCAGAGGGTCTGCCCAAAAGTCTCAACTACAAGATCTTTCTGTTTATGCTCCTACAGGTATTTCTCCAACACTGCTATCTCTGGTCTAAAGTAAACAATTGAAACCTCACCAAGGATAAGATGACTCTCTCCCTCTCTTTGGTTCCAATTCTTTGGAGGAATCCAGTATTCTGTGGACCTAAGAATAAAACTGCATCAGCTCCTGGTCCTTTGTCTCAACACTAGGTAATATGCTGGACAATTTACACACCAGCCATCATCTGACCCTCACAATACCTCCATAATGTAGCAATTATGAGCCCAGATTTTTGTCTAAGGCCACAAAGGCTCAAAGACATTGTTAACTTGTTCAAGCTCACTAGAAGTAATAGATCCACTGAATTTGAACCCAGCCTCTCCAACTTCAAAACCTGTGCTCTTTCTAGTGGAAAGAATACATCAGATAAATGTATGGTTTCTGTCTACTTCCTGTACTTAAGAAGAGCTTCCTACAGTTTTTCCCATAAATTTGGCATTTCATTACCTGAAGAGTTTTCCTTTTTGCAAACTCTGAGATTGTATTCAGGAATTTGTGAAATTATAAGATGCAGTAGTCATTAAAGGAGGCACCCCTGAAGAATCCCAAACCTAGTATTTCTTCATTTTATTTCCCACCTTTTAACCAAGTTCTCTCTTTATAAGTAAATGCTTTTCCTAAACAGCAACTCTCCATTCGGATTTCCAATTTGTCTTAAAACATACCAAGCATGAGTCCACGACTAATATTCTCTCTCACACACAGCGCCAGGTCTCTCTGCCGTCCTGCTCATATTCTAATCCTTTCCAAGTAAGTCAATTCATTCATTGATCCAATACTTAATAACCACTTGTTCTGTGTCAGGCACTGTGCTGGCTTACCACTTGTCTGCATTTCTCAAAACACTTTAAGATCCAAGAAGGCAAAGACCATGTTTGTCCGGCCCCATGGTGCCCTATCCATCCTCCCACCATTCCCACCCTGGCTGGCACAAAGTCCTCAAAAAAAGTTTGTTGAAGGAATGAAAACAGTTCAAGCAACTCACTAGCGTAAAACCACAGCAGTCGTCCATCCACTCTCCCTCAGAAGGTGGCAGGTACACAGCAGATGTCTTTGCTGATTACGAAAAGCTAGATACTCCATCAAGTCATCCCCAGAGTTATCATAATGAAAACGGTAAAAGTGTCACGCAAAGACTGTGACGCAATTTCCAGCCCGGCATGGAGGGAGTCTGCCAAAGCATCCGTTAAAGGTCAACTGGGTTGCCGGGAAACCTGCCCTTGTACCGGGGCCCGGAGGCCCAAAGAGACCGGAAGCCGTAGTCCCAAATTCAACAACTGTTGACAAGGACAGAGGAGGCCTAGGAAGGTGGAAAAATTGACCCTGACAGTCACTCGAGCCCAGTCCGGGGATGGGAGCCCAAGTGAAGACAGGGTCCAAACAGCTACCCTTCTCCTCCTCAGGGATCCCCTCCCCTGCTCCTCTCCCACCGCACTCAGGGCCTCGTCAACGTCCGTCCTTACTCAGGTGCCCGAGCCGAGAAGCTCCGGCTGCTCGACGTCGGAGCACCAGGGAGAGAGGGAGCCATGGGTCCTGGCCTACCAATCACCCTCCCCTGACTCAGAGGTTACGGCCTGGGGCCATCGCCGTAAAACGAGCGGCCTGGCAGCCGCTCTGGGGAAAGGAACTGCCCGCCGGGACCACGTGCTCACCTGCGGCTAAGCCCGCGCTCCTCGGCCCGGCGCCCCGCTCTCCGCCCGCTTGCCGGGAGCACGGACGACCCCGCTCCCAGCGGCCCGCGGGGCCTCGCCTGTGACCCCGCCCGCGGGCTGCGGGACCTATCAGAGCTCAGGGATTGGCTGAGCTCCAGCCCCACAGGACGGCAGGAAGCTAGGCGTCCTCAGCGCGCCCCTCCGCGCTGAGATGGGCACAGCGCCCCCTCGTGGCCGGGAGGTTTCCGAGTGACGTGGCCACGTGCTTTTTGCGTGGAGAAAGTGAAAGGTCATCCAATCATTTATCCAACTGACTTTTTTTTTTTTTTTTATTTTTGGCTGTTTAAGAGTTGATGACTTTTTTTTTGTTGGTTTTGTTTTTTTCTTTTTTTTTGGGGACAGGCTTTCGCTCTGTCGCCAGGGCTAGAGTGCAGTGATGCAATCATAGCTCACTGCAACCTCAAACTGCTGGGCTCAAGTGATTCTCCTGCCTCAGCCTCCCCAGTAGCTGAGACTAAAGGTGCACGCCTCCCAGGCTATTTTTTTTTTTTTTTTTTTGTAGAGATGGGGTCTCGCTATGTTGTTCAGGCTGGTCTCCAACTCCTGGCCTCAAGTGGTCCTCTGGCCTGGGCCTCCCAAAGTACTAGGATTATAGGTGTGAGCCACTGTGCCTGGCCTCAACTGACTTTTATTAGGCACCTTCTAAGACCTAGGTCTGGACACACGAAAACAAGTCATGATCACTACCTTAAGAAGGTCCCCTTAGCAGAGTATAATCTAGTGCTTTAAGACCTCTTTGGATAACGGCTAGCTTTCTAGCTGTGTGAGCTTGGGAACATTATTAACCTGTAGGAGCCTCCCTTCGCTCTTCTGTGTAGAGGTAATAACACCCATTTTGCAGGGTTGTTAGATGATAATGCATGTAAAGTACTGCGCCAGGCGCACAGCAAGCAGGGAAATGTATGGTAACTATTGTTAGTCTACAAATAATTGAAATAGTAAAACCTAAGTCTCACATGACTCCTCAGGTATGAGTATTTGCTCCCTACTATGCGACCTCACTGTACTCTGTACAATTTATTTTATTTTATTTTATTTCAATTATTTGAGACACGGTCTCACTCTGTCACTTGGGCAGTGCAGTGACGTCATCATAGCTCCCTGCAACCTCAAACTCCTGGCCTAGAGCCAGCCTCCTGCCTAGGCCTTCCAAAGTGCTAGGATTATAGGTGTGAGCCACTGTGCCTCGCCCAGATGTCAATTTTATCACATACAGAAGAAAAGCCAAAGCCCAAGCTTCTTAATGCTCCCACAAGGCCCTGCCTTCCCACCCTCATTCCACTAATCTCAGCCTGGCATATTTATTTTAGTAACACATACTAAACCCAGCAGACCAAACTGTTTCACACCTCGGTGCCTTTTTCATCTGCCTAGAGTGCCCTTTCCACTTTTCTTTACCAAAGTAGCTTTGGCTCCTTTCTCCAGCTTCAGGGTCACCCCCTGTATCTAAGAACCAAAAGCTAAGCTCTGGCAGTGAAGATGGAGAAAAAGAAACATTATTACAGGGGCCAAGGGAAAACTCCCCTTTTGCACTCTGAAGGTTCACTGAAAATCAACGGACAAAAGGCAGATTAATAGGAGAAGAGACATACAAAATTTTATTTTAATGTGCATAGCACAGGATGGGGGCAGGGGGTCACAGGAGACTGATTACCCAATAACTTAGTGGAGTACAGAAGCTTATATACCCTTTTTGCATTGGTAAGACGGGAGATGAGGAACATAGACAATTTTATTTTGAGGGACAGCAAATGATTATTAGGGAGAAGAAATAGAAATTAACTTGTAAATGATTCTCTTTGGAATATGAATGAGCCCGAGAGGCAGGTATCATTAGTGAAATATCCATCCAGGTGTAGTTGCAGTCCTGTCTTCTTTGCTGAGATAGATGAGATTTCAGGGCGGGGCGGAAGGAAGGCAATTGTGTTTCTAGTGGAAAGAAGCTTTCTTTATCAGGTGAGGAAATTACAGAGAGAGAGTCCCTCCCTGCACTTGGGGGAGGGCGAGGGACAAGACAAGGTTAGAGGGACCTTGATTCTGACGCAGTGTCTAAGGCCTCTCAGCATGTCAAAGTGCCCGTCTTTGGGGTATCACTTTCTGAGCCCCAACAGTATGAGGAAATATTTAGGAGATCATTATTAGCGTAACTTGTTCACTAATTGACTATGCGGAGAGGAAAGGGGAACAGAATTTGCCTAGAATAACTGGCATTAGGTCACCCAGTCAACATGTGCTAGTAGGCCTTGGGGATGCAAAATGACTGGGACCATCCCTGCCGTCAGCAGATGGATCTACATAATGTCCACGGAGTGTAAGAAACGTGGTGACGGAGTATGCACAAGCGGCACAGAGGAGGAGCTTCTGCCCAGCCAGGAAGATTCAGGGAAGACTCCCTGGAGGTACCAGCCCTTGAGCTGCGTCTTGAGTAATGGCTGGCTGTTCCCTCAGGCAGAACTGATGGGACTCCAGAGCATAGACTAAGAAGTTAGATAGCCATGGGTTCAAATCCTGACTCTGCTGTCTGCTAATCTCAGAAAAGCTATTTACACTCTTTGTTTAAAAAAAAGACAATAATAGTACCCACCCCTAGGGTTGCTGTGAGTATTAAATCGCCTAAATGTGTATAAAGTGCTTGGCATAGTATTTGGCACCTCCTAAGTGTTCAGTAAGTGTTTATTGACATGTGAAGTATTCCCCAATTGTATCCCTTCTTCTCTAATGCCCACTTATGGCACTACTCAAAACCCTGAGTGACATCTTCAAGGCCTCCCCATCTTTGCAATATTCTCCAGTTCTTGCTAATGGCATCTATGCCCTCTAAATATATCTCAAAGTCAACATCATTATCTCTTACCCACACAACTTTAGCAGCTCCCTCAATGGTCTCCCTGCCTTCCTATTGCCCCCTCCGGTCCATTTCCATTCTTTTGGTCCAGGGGTCTTCCAAAAACTTAAATAAAACCATGAAATCTCCACCTTAGAGCCCCCTGCCACCTCCATGGGTCCCTTCTGCCCCTTTCTCCTCTGCACCCTCCACAACCCTGTCCTGTGGCCTCTCTCCAACATGTGCTCCTCCCATCGTCCCCAACACATGTGATCTTCTTCCATGCCTTTGCCTAAGCGGGTCCTTTTGCCTGAAATGAATGTTCTCCCTTCTCTGCCTTGACTGTAAAACGCTAGTACATCCAGCAAGACCCCGCTTCCCCCAGTTTACAAGGCAGAAAACTTCCCCAGACCCCCTGTGCTATGGTTTGAATGTTTGTCCCCTCCAAAATCCATGCTGAAATTTAATTTCCATTGTTAACAGTATCAAGAGCTGGGACCTTTAAGAGGTGATTAGGCCATGAGGGCTCCACTCTCGTGGGGTGAGACTGGTGCCCTTATAAAGATCAAGTTCAGCCCCTGCTTGCTCTCACGTTCTGCCATGGGGTGTTGCAGCAAGAAGGCCCCCGAAAGATGCTGGCACCTTGATATTGGACCTCCCAGCCTCCAGAACTGTAAGCTGATAGATACCTGTTCATTATAAATTTCCCAGGCTGTGAAGCCACCCTGGTTGCTAGAGGCTCCCTCCTCTCCTCTCCTCTGCCCCTCAGGATAGCAGGCCTCCCTTTGTACCAGAACATGCTGCTATGGCCAGACCAAGAGCAACTCAAGCACAAGGACTGGATCTAATCTTTCGCCTGTCCATGTGGCTCAGCACAACTACGCATGCCCTAGCAACCAAATGCTTCCACATCAGCCCACCGGAAGAGACCTTAGACATCGCGTCACCAGCAGGACAAGCACAGAGCTGCAGATGCTGACCGGTTCCTTTGTGCCCACTCCCATATACCTCATGATCCTGGGAAACCTGGCCCAGTTTCTGAGAAAAGTCTTAGACCCATAAAAAGAGGGTTAGACTCAGCCACTTCCCAGCCTTGTGATTTGAGGTAAGTTGTTGAACTTCTCCAAGCCACAGTTTCCTTGTCTGTAAATCGAGGTGTAACAATAACAGCTTTATGGGATTGCTCTAAGTAGCATGTAGTTCAAGCCTCGCCCAGGTCCCAATTTCACAGATGAGAAAACAATCTCAGAGAGGTCAAGTGACCTAGCCAAAGCCTCATTTGGCCCATCTGTGGGAAATAGACAAATGAACATTTCTAGAGGAAACCTGTGGATGGTCATCCAATCTAAGCCTTCCGGAACCTGTATGCCCATGAGAATCACAGTGGGCACTTGTTAGAAACTCATTCAAGGGCAGGGAGCCTATTCACTAAGTCTTGGACCAGGCCCAGGAATGTGTGTGGGATCAGCTCCAAACAGATTCACTTCTGGGAATTCAAATCACACTGGAGCCCTCCCCACCTTCCAGGAGGCTCATGTGGGTGTGCAGGTGCCATCTCTGCTTTCCAGAAGCAGTCTACCAAACCAGCCTGTAAAATATGCCTGTGCCCCTCTCCTGTTCACAACCCTTCTATGGCTCCCTGCAGCTCCCCATGGCTGTTGGGACCCAGCCCCACCCTCCTCAACGTGCTCTTCCCAATGCCTCTTCCTCGTCCAGGCCTTTGCACAACTGTTCTTGGATCTTGGAACATTCTTCCCAGCCCCAGGCCCCCTTTAGTGGCTAATCCCTAACCATCTTTCTGGCACTCACCTCTGTATTTTAACTGCTTGTTTAATTGTCTGTTTTTCCCACTAGACCTTAAGCTCCATAAAGGTAGAAACTACATCTTGTTCCAGGCTATCCCATGGTGCTTGACAGTGACAAACATCTGCTGAATAAGTAAGTGAATGAGAAGAACTGGTTGGACTAGTGTGGCCCAGAATAGCAGCCAAGCCCCTGGAAGGGTTTCCTCCTGCCTTGGGTGGCACATAACCCAAAGGACTACTCCAAGAGTGAAAAGGGGGCTTCCTGGGAGGGGACTTTCAGCAAACCCTTTCTAGAAATAAAAGCTCATGATTTTGCATTAGACCTGGGTCCACCACTTTCAGCCCTGTGGCTTTGGACCGGTCATTGAACCTGCCCTGAGCTTCAGCTTTCTCATCTGTCGTAAGGACAAGCTACATTCATGGAAAGCACTCGCCCCTTGCCTGGCCCACATGGAGCATTCAGTAAATCGCAGCCAGCAATGCTAGGTCTGGGTTGCCATTTAGCTTCTCAGGAGAGTTCTGTTCTTAGTTCCGCCTCTTCCCCCACCCCAGCTGCCACCAAGGTGCCCACCTACAGGAGGCATCAGAAAATGTGACAGCACGCAACTGAACAGACTTTCTGCTGCTGATCAGGAATGACTGGAGGGAAGGAACACTGTGCCCTTAGGGGAAAGGAAACCAATATTTGTCAATACCTAATAATAACCACTCCCTGTTTATTGAGCACATGCTGTGTGCCCGGCGAGCTCCGTGCTTCCTTCCTGGGGAGCCCTGGGAGGACGGGGAGCGGAACGGGAAGCAGTGAACTAGGCATAGTGGAGAGATTCACACCCTCCCCTCTTCACCTCACCTGGACCCCTCCAGGAGGGTCCAGGTCTTTATTGCGGCCACCAGGGGGTCGAACCCCCTGTCCCCCAGCTGGCCCATCCCTGGGAAGAGCTCAGGCAACCCTGCTGTTCCCAAACCAAGAGCATGGGCTTCCTGGCCCCCTTCTCCCTCTACCCCCGCCGACCCCACACACGGGGCAGAGGTGGCTTCTTCCGGAGAGAGCAGCTGGCTCGAGTGCAGTTCTGCGTTTTATTTTTCCTGGGATACTCACGGGGATGTGGGAACAGCCACGGGTGTGGTGAGGGGAAGCCCCCATCTCCCCTCCCCAGCCACTGGGAAAGGGGAGAGGCCCAGGCACCCTGGTCCTGGGTTGGTCCAGCCACTGTGGTCCCTGGGCCCGGTGGGCTGAGGGCTGAGGGCGGAGCCCCAGGGAGGGTGGGACGGGCTCCTAGGCGGGGTTCGGGATTCTTCATAAAAAGCCACGAAGCTTGATCCCCACGAAGCCCAGCCCCGCGGGGTGGGGGGACGCAGAGCCCAGATGGGGGACCTGGCCCGGCCTGGCCCGTGGGGGGAAATAATGGCAGAGATGGTGCCCAAGGGAGGAGGTGGGGGCAAAGCGTCGGACCAGGTGGTAGGGGGTCCCGGTGGGGTCGCAGGGCGGAGAGGCACGGCCCCCTGCCCACCCCGGGCGCCTCCGCGTGGGGTCAGGAAGGTAAAAAACCCACGAGAGTGTGACGGGCAGCAGGAGCCGGGGCGTGCGGTGCCGGCGGGGCGGGCGCACGGGGCGGCCCGTGTTCACAGTGACCTCGACGCTGGGTGTACAGTACGGGTAGAAAACCGCGGGCCCGGGCCGGGCTGGGCGGGCCGGGCCGGTCACAGCCTGGTCTGGGCCTCGGGGATGTAGATCTCGATGCTGTCGGCGCTCTCGGTGGCCGAGCTGTGGCGGAAGGAGGCGGCGCGCTTGGCCGCCAGGAGCCGCTTGCGCGCTTCCTGCCGCTGCCGGTCCACCGAGTCCAGGGAGCGCTCCTTCACCGGCACGCCCCGTCCCCGCAGGGGCTTCTTTGGTATCGGCGGAGGGACCTTCTTCTCCTCCTGCCGGGAGAGAGGCGGCGGCTGAGCGGGGGCGGGGCGCCACCTCCGACACCGCGAGTCGCGCCCCACGTCCCCGCCCCAGGGGACGGCGACAGTCGTGTGGCTCCGAATCGGCCCGGGATCCCGTGACCTGCAGCCCCAGGTGCGCTGGTTCGATCAAGGTCAAAACCCCGCATTTTTCATCAAAGCGAGAAGAAATCGAGCGCCCCCTGGTGGAGCCGTTCTCCGCGGCGCGCATCGGAACGCTACCCGCAAGGCAATGGGGGTCCCCACACCAGGCCCCTGCGCCCCATCAGACACGGTCTAGCGAGCCGGGGTCTGGCAAGACCCTCAACGCTCTGCCCTCTGTGCCTAGGCCCGAGCTGAGGACAGTCTGCCCCTGCTCGGAGGTCTGGTTCTGCTCCCTCAATCTGCACCTGGCCGGCGTCACCTGGGATGCCAGGGGGCTCTGGAAACTCAAGCACTGTGCCGGAGCAGACGGAAGTGACCAGGAGTGTGGTCATTCTGGAAGGGGATGGTCACCCATCACCTGCCCAAAGCTGCCCTTGCTGCCCATGGGTATCTTCCCCTGCCCCTCACCCCCACACCTCTTTGAGTAAGGGGACTCTCCAGAGTCTAGGCTCTTGGCTCGAAGGGACACCCCACCAACCTTAGGCTCCAGGAGTTTCCAGCTGTTGGCCTTGAGTTGCTGTAGCTCCAGGAACTTGAGGGTCACATCCTCGATGGAGAGCTGCAGGAGGTCCCAGAAACCCGCCAGGTCCTGGAAGGTGGGCACGGGGAACGCAGTGGGGTCCTGCAGTGGAGGGAGATGGGGGTGGAACACAGTCAAGAAAGTCTGAGCCCCCGACAGGAGCAGAGAAAGCCCTTTCCTCCCTCACTGTCAGGAAGCTCAACCTGGGAGAGTGGCGCAGGGGACAAGAAAGAGCCTCTCCCTCTTGGGCGCAAACCCCTGGTCCCACCTCCAGGCACAATACTCAACAGCTACCCTGCAGGCACACAAACCTGGTCTCGTCTCCAGGCACACACACTGAGTCACCTGCCAGGTACACACACCTGGCAAGCTCTACTCCTGTGGGTACTCACCATGCTTTGCTGACACAGCCGGAAGAACTGCTGAACCTTCTGGGACAGGAGCAGTTGTGTGCTGCCCACGGCACTGCGGATCTTCTCCAGGACTGGAAAGCAGAAGGAAATTCAGGAGGGGAATGATGCATCCTGCTCCCCAGCCTCTGGGGTGTCTGCCCTCCGTTGTTTGGCACTGTCTATCCATCAGTCTCCTCCAGCCCCAGCCCCAGCCCACCCTCAAGTTCCTAACAAGCGGTTCCTACTGCATCTCACCAAGGAGACTGCATCCCTGGACACTGATGTTCCTTCCTGCACACAGCCCCCATTTGTCGAGTGCTCAGCCTCCCACGTCCTTTCCCCTCCCGTGTCTCCCTCCCAGATGCAGATCAGCCCAGCCTCGCCCGACGGCCTTAGCCAGGGCAGTAGCTCTGACCACCCAGTGGCTGAACTTTGTCACTCATCAGTGCACGACTCCTTGGCTCATTAAGAATTGCTTAGTAATTTCACGTACATGACACTTGTCTTCCTAGTCACGACCCCACCAGCTTGGGGATTCTGGGGTAAGACTGTGTCTCCCCTCAGACTGGACTCAAAGGGAGGGGCCACAACCTCCCTAGGGCCAGAACCATGTCTATTAGCTGAATTTCCTTCATCTGCCTCAGACATGATCTGACATCCTGAACTGCCTCCCCTTCTGCCTTGATGTCCTGGTCCCACGCCCTGGATCAGAGGTAGATCCCCACACTAGTCCGGATCCGGACAGAGTCCCCTCACGCCCGCCGCCGGGACTCACTCTCCTCGGGCAGCTCATAGTCCTCCGCCTCGCGCTCCATCTGCTGGCACCAGTGCTCCAGCTTCTCCACCTCTGCCCGCAGCATCTTGATGAACCACTCGCCGTCCCGTGGGCAGGGGGACGTGCGGCCTGAGTCGGGGAGGCTACGTGAACCGCGCTCCATCCAGGAGTCTCGGCGGCCGGCCCCCGGGCCAGGGGTGGGGGCAGGGGCAGGGCCGGGCGACCCATCGGCGGCGGGTGGCTCGTACGGCAGTGGGTAGCCCTCGCGGTAGGCCCACTGGCCCTGCGTGTGGACCGTGCGGAAGACTGAGTAGGTGGGGGCCCGGGGTCCAGGCTGGGGCTCAGAGGCGTGCCTCTGGAAGGAGCGTCCGAACTGCAGGGCCTTGTCTTCTGTGGCCACCGTGGCCAGGCCTGCCAGGCCCTCCAGCTCCAGGTCTGCCTGAACGCCGGCCGTCACACTGTTGGAGCGCTTGAACCTCGCCCGCCTGGGGAGAAAGGTGGCTGTCATCTCTGCCCCTGCCCAGGCTCATCCCAGCCCTCACCCCCACCCCAGGCAAAGGGAAGGGAACAAAGGAGGGAATCTACAAAGTGATGGACATTATGCACTTTAAATATATTAGTCCTTGCAATAGGTAGGTGCATAATATACCTACCTATTACACTACCTCTAGACAGCGGTGATATTCAAACTACTTAACAACCAGCACTCCATGGACAGAACAGATGCTGGCATATACCAGTCCCAGCAGGTACAGACCAGAGTGCTGGAGCAGCACCCTGTAGAAGGTGGACTGTGGGGCTGACCAGAGGGGCCAGGGAGGTGGCTCTTTACCAAGAATGCAGTAGTAGTTCAGTATTTCAACAAATGTTGTGTCCATGCTGGTTTACACCAGCTGTACTAGTTGTGTCCTTAGCCCTACCTAGAGATGAGTAACATAAGGCCTGAAGAGGCACACAGTCACCCAGCTTCAAAAGAGCAGAGCCAATATTTGGACCTAGGGCTGCTGGGCTGCACAGTCCGACCTCATTGCACTGTACCAGCTGCTAGAACATCACTGGAAGAAATGCCTTGGAGCAGCTGGGGCTGCAGCTGGGAGGACTTCTCCTCTAGGGACCCCGGCGGCTCAGCCTCAGAGCCTGGCCAGACACAGCAAGCCAGTGCCAGTGGAGCTGAATTAAGTTGTTGGCAGGAATGACATAGGGCCTGGAAATTTCTTGCCTTCTAGTTAATAATATGCAAATCCTATGCAAAAGAGAAAAGTCTATTGACCTTGTTCATTTCCCTCCTCCACCCTGAGTTCAGAGTTCTTTTCTATAAAGAAGTCAGTGGCCCCCCTGGGACGCATGAGGTGGGGCCACACAATACTTCAAGAAGTGGGAGTTAGGAGATGCGGAAGGTGGGGGATGAACAGAAGTTCAAGGTCTAGAAATTCAAGGACCACAAAAGAAAGGCCCATGTATCCTGAGCTACCTCCACCCCTCCACGGTCAGGAGGGAGAGGGGTTTGTGGGGCCAGCTCTAGGGGTCCCTCCAGCTTCCCAAGAGACTCTCCCGACCCCCGCAACTTCAGCCTTTCTCCTGCTGCCCAGGCCTGCTCTCCCTGCCTGCCTGCCTGCTTCCCTCCAGCTGGCAGGCTGCCTGCTGGGAGCCTGTTTCCATAGAAACCAGGCCCAGAAGGATGCTGCAGGACCCAGGAAAGAGAGATGCACTCATGTGCAGTCTCCAGCAAGCCCTACGTCCCAGCCCCCACCCAGAGAAAGAGAAGGAGAGAGAACATATCCTCTTTGCCTCCCACATAGCCTCCCCCTTGGGGTATGCCGTGTCCTGCCCTGGTCAAGGCTTGTATCGCCATCTGCCTTGACGATCAGATTGGTCTCCATTCAGATACCTCTGTCTTCACTCAGTACGCTGCAGAGGAAGAGCACTGGACAAGGAGTCAGAGCTGAGTCTTAATATTGGCTTTATCACTGTGTGCTTTTGGGAAGTCACTGACCCTCCATCTGGGCCATCTGATGTGTGTGTGTTTGTGTGTGTTGAAAATACATATAAATATATACATATCTCTCTTTAAAAAACCACAAACATAGACACACACACACACACATATATATAATTATAGAAATAGATCAGTAATTGCCAAGGTGTTTCCCCTCTCTAAAATTATACCTTGCATATTTTAAGATCTGGGGCCCAACAGTCCACCCAAGACTGTAGTAGTCTTCCTGAAGCTGAGCTCTGCCAAGTCATTCCCCTGCTCAAAACTCTCCCATAGCTCCCTATTGCCAACAAGATAAAGTCCAAACTTCCAATGCTGCCATTTAGTTGAGGCCCTCATACCCTGGATGGTGTGTAAGTCTTCCTCTTCAACCTCATCTCCCTCCACATTGTCCTTGGTCCCCAGAGTACAGGTGATCCTGACTCTAAGCCTTTGCAGACACTAGGCCCTGCCTGAGATGGCCTTCCTTCTCCTCACTCCCTGTCCATTTCCTGCTCAAGTCCTGCTTCCTCTGTGACCCTCCTGACTGTCCCCAAGACCACTCCTCAGCACCATACCCCCCTACAGCAGTCCTCCTGCCTTCAGAGGCAGCCTCGCCATTTGGTTAAATTTTTCTGTCTTCCTGGTAAGAGTCTTGTGTGTATAACTGAACTGACAGGATGCACCTTGGCTTGCTTTGAATAATTTTATGCTTTTGAGCTCCAGTTAGACTGTGGCTCCTTCAGAGCTTTAGCAGTTGCAGACCACAGAGGTAAGGAGGGATTTGCCCCAATAAATACATTCCTGAAGATGCACCATCCCTGCTTGCTTTCCCGTTATCCCTGCCAAACAAGGGTCTGTCCTTTGGCAACACTGGATTCTCTGCCTTTCACCTGTGCTCTGAGAAATCCTGAGCAGCACATGCCCCTTTTTTTTTTTTTTTTTTGAGACAGAGTCTCACTGTGTTGCCCGGGCTAGAGTGCCATGGCGTCAGCCTAGCTCACAACAACCTCAAATTCCTGGGCTCGCCTCCTACCTCAGTCTCCCAAGTAGCTAGGACTACAGGCATGGGCCACCATGCCTGGCCAATTTTTTTCTATATATATTTTAGTTGGCCAATTAATTTCTTTCTATTTTTAGAAAGAAATTTTTAGAAAGTGAGATGGGGTCTCACTCTTGCTCAGGCTGGTCTCAAACTCCTGAGTTCAAAGGATCCGCTCACCTCGGCCTCCCAGAGTGCTAGGATTACAGGCGTGAGCCACCACGCCTGGCCTGCACACACCATCTTGATGGAAATAGCCACACAGTCTGGGACAGAAGCACAATGTGCCCCAAGCTCCGGGCTTCTCAAGTCACTAACTCAGCAAGCTCTCCCATGCATCTGCCTCAAGGAAGACCAATGACACTGAGGAGCTTATGGGACAACTGGAACCACGTTCCCCACCAACACGCCCAGCAAGGGGCCAGAGGTGTGTCCAGCACAAGCAGGACTAGGTCATCCTTGTGCAAGTGGCATTTAAAACCAGCAGTGTGGGACAAGATCACCCAAGAGAAGAATACTGCATCAAAGGTCCAAAGATCCAAGGACCCAGGGAACATGGACATTTCAGGGGCAGGGAGAGACACTGTGGCCCACAGAGGAGTCTAAGCCAGAGCGGAAGATGAAGAAAAGCAGAAGAAAGTCACCTAAAGGCAGATAAGGGAGGAAAAGGTCTCGGGAAGGAATAAGCAGCCAGCATGGGGAACGCAGCCGGGAAGAATGAAAGGTGCCCACTGACTTGGCAATGTGGCAGCTACTGGTGATCAGAGCAAGAGTGGGTTTGGTGGAACGTGGGGGCAGCCACACAGAGACAGCAGGTTGTCAGGAGGTGGAGAAAACTTGTCAAGACAACTCTTTCAAAGAGCTTGGCTGAGAAGGGAGGAAGAAAGAAGGGAATGTACTGCTAAAGGAGGGGTGTTGTGCTGTGTTTGGGGTGGCTCTTGCACGCCGTCCTGCAGGGAAGGGACCTGTGGGGAAGGCAGGATAACGGTCGCCCGAAGAGGCCCACACCCTGATCCCCGGGACCTACGTCTATGTTACCTGCATGGCAAAAGGGACGCTGCAGATGTGATTAAGTGAAGGATCCTGAGATGGGGAGACTACCTTGGATTATCCAGGTGTAACCACACGAGTCCCTTATAAGTGACAGAGGGAGGCAGGAGAGTCAGAGCAGGAGCCGGCATGACACAGTCAAGGTTGGACTGATGCAATGTGAGGACCCAACCCGCCGTCGCTGGCTTCGGAGGTACAAGTAGGCCACGGGCCAAGGCACGCAGACGGCCTGCATACTCTGTGGAAGGTGACAAAATGGATTCTTCCCAGAGCCTCCAGAAGGGACGCGGTCCTGCCAACACCTTGAGTTTAGCCCACTTTGAAACCCAGCTGGGCCTTCTGACCTCCAGAAATGTTAAGACGCTAGATCTGTATTGTTTTCGTTCACTAACTCCGTGCTAGTTTGTTTCAGCAGGAATAGGAAACTGAAACAACCTGCACAGAGAAACTGATTGAAGACAGAGGCAGCAGCCCGAGGAACCAGATATATGGGGGATTAAAGAAAAAAATAAATAAATAACCTCCTCTGAGCACTCAGTATGTGCCAGGCTGGGCGTTTTACACGAGTAAACATGCTCAATGCTCACAAATAGCCCCGCGATAAGGGTGTTAGCATCATCCCTACTTACAGATGAGAAAACTGAGGCTTGGAGAAGTCAAATGACTTGCTAGGATGAAGACAGGTGCCTCAACCTCTGAGGCAGGGCTGCCGGAAGAGGCAAGGGAAGAGACGCAAGCGAGCGGGAGGCTGGTCTGGACAGGGACAGAGGTGCCACTGGTTGACCTCGATCACCGCGACGACGGAGATTTGGGAGCGGGGTGGGGGACGGAATGAGAATGAGCAGCCCGTGTACTCTGGAGCCTTGCCCAGGTCCAACACCCGGCTCTAGGGGCTGTGCCTTGTTTCCCCATCTGTAAATGAGAATGATAATAGTACCCGCGCACAGGGCTGTTGTGAGATAATATATGGAAAGCACTTAGCACAGCACCTTGCCTCCCCATTGTGTCAGCTATTACAGACCAGCAGGACGGTCTGTGGCGCTCGCTGAAAAGAAAGGGAGCGAGACAAACACGACAATCCGAATGCAGCGCTGAGAGCCCAGCTAGGGCATTGTGGTTATTAATTACGATGATTGCGCTTGGTCATTTCCATCTGTTCTCCCACAGCACTCGGAACAAAACCTCTTTTATACTCCATATCACATCGTATTGTGGTTAGTTATTTGCATATCCGCCTCCCGCACTAAATTGGACAGTTCCTCACACATAAACATTGACCGGTGGTTGGATGGCTGGCTGGAAGGATGGCAGAGACCACTAATTATCCCCCAACAGCCATTCTCCCTTTCTTCCTTAGTAACAGAATCCCACAATTTTAAGCTGGACACGTGTACACTTTGAATAAAGATTCTTTTCCC